AAAAAATTCTAATTATAACCATTACACTATAATATATTATAATTGACAATGCTTTATATATAAATACAAACCTTAATTAGAAACATATTTTACTTTGGCTTAACAAGATCCCAAAAGAAAAAATTTTTTAATAGTTTAAGGGTAGGGTCTTTTTCCAAATTAGTAATAACCAAATAAATAGATCGATTTTGCAGATCATCAATGTGATAAAAATAGTAGCCAATAATCTTAAAGCAGTTTTCTTTATTAAAAATTTATGATAATTCTAAGTAACTTTACGCTTTTTATTTACCCTTGTCAATAATTTCTATTCTAAAGTGGATACAAAATTTAATGCATTCTCTTTTAAACCTACCAAACTAGATGAATATGATAACGATTTTGCTTCTTTAGAATACTTGATATCAACCTCTTCAGTAATAATCTCTGCTAAAATCAATGAATCGATCAAATATAAGCAATCTTCGTTGAAAATTGAACAACTTTCAAATGAGACTCCATAACCTTCTATAGAACTTAGATCTTTACTAACTGCGTTTTTTCCTTTTGAACCCATAAAACAATCGGCGATATCATCTCTTGAGATTCATAATAACTTAGGATCTTGGCTGGTAACTCTTTTTATCAATTGATCTACGATTCTAACTATCCAATTTACCTCATTGCTAACATTCCGCCATTCAGTAGAAATGGCTTTATGTCGGCAACAATTATCACAGTTATGACACTCTGGAATATCAGAATCTCCGGGCCATGTAAAAATTTGGTATGCTAGTTGTTGTCTACATTCAAGTTTGTTCTCACAATAATGTACCATTTCTAATAATTGTTTTCTTTTTTCATTTAAATGCTTTTTCTGATTTGTGGGAGCTACCATTTCTGTCAAACTGGATGATTCATCAAATTCTTGAGATATTTCATTGTTTTCTTTTATACTATATAAGATATAGTAAGTAATAATTGTATTACATTATGGTTAATAATTTGAATTGTCAAAACTTATCCCTTAATATGTAGACCAATACAGGCAAATTTGCCTGTGTTTTTGTACTTTTTTAGCTCTGATTTACTTTTTTAAAATGCCAAAATATTTAAA